CTTAATTTTGTCATTTGTTTGTTTTTGGTTAGGTTTCCAATTCTAACCGCATCCCATTTAACCTTTCTGAAACCATGAGGTCAGAGGAAGCCAGGTGCTGGTGGCTAGTGGGCACTTACTCCCAGCCTGTTAAGTCTCACTGACCACTTCAGTGAGTTTGGTGGGTGGTTTTTCTTTTGTTTTTAATCAGTAACATAGACCCATCTATAAAGCCAAAGTCAAGTGTAAGAATTAAGATATGTTTTCATCTTTTCAAGTTTTATGAGTCTCATTAAAGAACCATCTTTTTTTTTTTTTAAAGCTGACAAAGCATCCGAGCGCTTGCCTGGTTCCGGCCTGGCACCTTAGAATTCTGGAGCCACGTCCAGGGTAAATCTCTGGTGGCTTTCCTCACGGCCTCTAGCGTGGGTGGGTGTGCTGCTCCCTTAATAGCAGCTCCAGATGTCACGTGGGAGAGATCTTTGCTGTTGTTTTGGTTATCCTCTTCATGTTGGTGCCTTTTAGGAAGTTGTAAAACAGATGGGGCTGTCCGGCTGGACGGAGAGGTCGGGTAACCATCGATCTGAGACCGTTCCTGCTGATGTGGGCAGAATTCAAAAGGAAGTTTTAGCTTCACGGACACGTCGTGGAGAAGTTGCATGCGTGTCATGATAGGCCATGTCCCCATCAGGGGGAGTATCGTGAGACAGACCCCGAGAAGGTTAGACTGGGGGCTGCTGGGCTTCCATCAGCTGGTGGACTTGGCTGTGGATTGCCCAAGATGGGTACCGCTTCCCTCTCTTTGAGTGGCGGGTCTGTAACCTGATCGTCAGTCTGAGAAGGGGGTGTTCTGTGCTCACTTGGGGTTTTCTGACACTGGAAAGAAGAGTAGGACTTTAGTTGTGTAATTTATAATAATGAACAAAAACCTCAAGCCTGCTCCCCACAAACCATCCAGTTATCCAAATATTCATTCAAGTTATAAATTTCTTTGAGCCGCGGGACACTTTTTTCCTTGTCTTTTTCCTTTCTGTTTTCTTTCCCCACCAGATAGATTCACAGTGAAAAATAAGACAGGCTCCAGTATTTGCATGTTGAAAATTAAGATCCGTGCCCAGAGGCGCCTGGTGGCTAGCACAGTGAAGTAAGTGGAGAACTGGGGCAATTGTTTATTTGAAAGTTGGGTGTGACATATGAATGAGCCTATCTTTTTAATACCCACCCATCTGTCCTGGATTGAAACAGGCATTTGGAGTAGGTTTTGCATTTTAAGTTCAATTTTGAGAACCAACCATTCACGGTGAATGCAAAGTTGCTGGAAGTTTGTTTCAGAAATGATGCCACCCTTTATTTCTGTGAACCCAATAAAAATGGCATGGACTGAAATTTAATTATGCTGTGCTGAATATTTCATGTGGAATTAAGGGGCAAGAGTTGCCTTTACAAAGCATTAAGTTTGGAAGGAATAAAGGCTTTGTAGGTTCTTTGGAAGATACTATAATTAAAAGATTTGCTCAAATGTATTTATCCCCTTTTGAAGAGTTTAAAGAAATCCATCCCTCCCTTCTTAAATTGATTGCCTCTCAAACATCAGCCCCGCTTGGCAGTAAATACGGTGAAGTCACCGCTGCTCTGCTGCTCTGACGGCTTCTTTCTGTTAAATGTAAAATAGGTTTTTAATCTTCTGATTCAGATGTTTAATAGAGAGTAAATGTTTGACTTGCTTTGGTTTCTGCTGAACCTGTATTTAAATCCACACAAACAGTTTGAATAAAGTGAAAACATCACTGGACTAGCTATTTTAAACATTTCAGGATGTGAGAATGCTAAATGGGGTTCCCTTTTAAAACTAGAAATGGTTGCTTGCATTTACATAATTACTGTTAACTAGCACAACATTTTACGTGGTGACAAACGCAGGGTGGAAAAAGTATCTGTTTAAAAAAGCCTGGTAAAAGGAAGCTGAAAAGCTCTGTGAACAGCTGCTTCATGCAGAGGGCTTTGCAAAGCCAGGGGAAGGAAGCCTTTCCGTAGGGAGGGTGATGTCATGGGAGGAGGCAGGTAGCCCAGGCAGGTGCTTGGGGACGCTTGCAAGCTGTCCCTTAGGCCGAGCTTACAGAACCTTTCATTCAGAAGCGGGAGCGTAGGTATTCCTAAATCTGCTTTTTGGTTTTGGAGTGGGTATGGCGTTCTCTGTCCACGGTTAAGTGGTGTCTGGTGAGGTTGAAGTTCATTGTTGGTGAAAAGTGCCTGGGAAGATATCTGTGAAAATAAAGACCAGTGTTTCCTCATCCAGATTGAGCAGTCAGTACCTCCAGTCGGAAGCCCAGGTGTGTCCTTGATTCTGCCCTTTGTCCCCTGCCACATGTGGAACCCACCTGTCAGTCCCTTTCTCCTTCTCACACGTGCCCTGCTGTGTGCGTCTCTGCCCGCGCCTCTGGAGGCTGGGCTGTCCTCGTTTTCTTTGCCTGGACGTCCGTCCCCTCTTCTATCTGGACTCCTGTTCCCAGTCTCGCTCCCCATGCAGGGACCAGGGTGATGTATGAAAGACCTATGTGGGTGAGGTCACTAGCTTGCTTCAAAACCCTGCAGTGACTTTCTACCCATTTGGAATGCACTTGGCTCCTGTGACCTGGTCCCTGTGACAGTTTAAGCCCTACCGTTTGCTCTTCCTCTGGACACATCGACCCTTTCCACAGCTGGAACACACCCCATTTGCCTCTCTTTTGCAGTTTTCTCTGCATGGAGTGGTGTCCCCTCCTACCCTGTGTTTGTGTGCTGGCTTCTTCATACGTCTCAGGTCTCACCTCAAACGTCATCTCGGGGGGGCCCTTCCCAGACAACGCACGCTAGCACAGTCCTCCGTCACTCTCTCATGTGGCATGCTTTGGTAGCATTTATTACTATCTGAAATTGTCTCTTGTATTCCTTTCCCTTTCTCTGCTCTCCTGCCCACCCCTCTAGAGCGTGAGCTCTTTTAGGGCAGGAGCCCGTCCGTCTCCTCAGCTGTATTCTCAGCAGCTACGGGTGCCCGTAAGTGTATGGTTGCCACTGATGAAGTGAATGCAGGGGAGGAGCCCTGGACAGCACTCGTGTCCAAGGAGGGGGCTGACCTGGTAGAACTGGGCACCCAGAGGGACAGTCCTGAAGTCCTCATTGTCTCCGGATGGTTTCTGGAACCGCTTGGGAAACACTCTAAACCTCACCTTTGGGCACTGAAAAGTTGACATTTGGAGGTTCAGAGAATGGCTGTGGACATGGTTCAGCCCATGTCCCACAAGAGTCGGGGACCTCGCTCTCATGGCTCCCTGAGTGAGATGAAAAGTCAGTATTCCCAGTGCTCTTGGTTCAGGGGAGCTCAGCAGTGGGGGCTTTGCTCTTTGCTGGGGGCGGTGGCACAGCCCTGCCTGACTTTGCCGGAGACTGAATTTGAACTCACCCACACCCAGCGTGAGAGCTAGCCCTCATTTCTGTGATTGCCCCTGCGGCATGATGGTGCACTATGTTCCACATTCTTTCTGGGGCTAGGGGACACATCCCCTAGGATACCAGTTATTTGCAGAAGTCTAAACTTTGGTGAGTAGCTTTTAGCTTCCTTGGTTCTCCTCTTGGCTACATCTCAGATTTTTAGGAGGAAAATGTGGTGAGGCTACAGATAGCTGGAAAGTTGATGAGGATGTTTGGAAGTAGTTGAATTGAACCATCCCTTCATGTTCAACTTTCTTTGGGAAGAAAAGAATCACATTTCCAACTCATGGCCATCTCAAATATGATAGGCCGCTGCAAGCTGTCTGTCAGAGCATTTACTTTGGTCTCAAATATGCTAGTTAGGGACTGGGTTGTAGAACTCAGGAGACCTGTCTGCTTAAGCAAAAGCTCCGCTGTGCATCCTTCCATTCTTGCTGCTATCTTTATCAGGACGTTGTTACGGTGTTGGGTTGTTTTAGTAAAAACACTAACTTCTCAGTTATTTTATAGTGAAATGGACCTTCTTAACCGAGACCTAGGGACAGAACCCTTGAGCCGGAGCATTTGCATTACTTTTGATTGAGCATCAGCTCATTAGACTGGATTTAAAAGGAACCCCCCCCCGCCCCGCTTCTGTGTGACTGGAGCCTCGTGCCACCCAAGGCATGGTGTCTTGACTGCCTGGCCCCCACTTGCCCGGCTAGAGAACAGGCTCAAGCTGGAGGAAACAAACAGGATGAAGGCAGGCCAGAGTCAAGAAAGGGCCTGGCCTGCCTGAGCCAGAGATGTGTGCAGTGGGGTGGCTAGATAGGGCTGGAAAATGGGTTTCAAGCAGCTTATGGGGGGTCTTGTATGTAAGAAGTGGGCAACCACAGTAGGTCGTTTCCCCTGAGAACCGAGCTGATGAACTGGGGTGTGCGTAGGGCTGGCTGGGGGCAGGGAGAAGAGCTGGGAGAACGTCCCAGTTCTTGGTTTTGTAGTTACTGGAAACTGGGTATGCTTGTCTTTCCTGGGAGCCATTTCCCTCTCTAACAGACGCTGCGAGAAGCTGTCTACTGCATACCCCTGAGTTGTATCTCTTTTCTGATTTGATCCTTTTGGTCGATTGCTTTTGAAGTTAAGGTTCTGGCTTGGTCAACTGAATATTAGAAACAGACTCCCATACATACCGGGCTGCTAAGTATTTGAAGAGCAGTGACTTTCCCGTGTGGATGATGAGCACACTTCACATTGTGGTTGACACACCCCCAGTGTATATGGTAGTTACTGTGTAATTGTTTGAGCGTGAACCAGGGTGTTCTGGTCCAGCCTGAAGAAGCGAGGTTGCCCCTCCAGAAGAGCATCCTGTTTGCGTTTTCCTGGCACTGCATGTGAGCAAGGCATAAGCGCCCATTTACTATTGTTCCCGTCTCCTTTTCTAGCCTTCAAAAAGCCAAAATGATTTCCTGCCCGTAAATTGCTTGGTTTTCTTTTTCTGCTCTTCCTTTCGTGGCCAAGATATTTGCAGAAATTTCTGGCTAACCAGCCGTCCGTAACTTTCCTCTTCGTTGCAGATGCTGTGGTGAGTGGTATCTGAAGAGCCCCACAAATCCAAAGTTGTTGCCTTAGGAAAGCTGAGATTCCAGCGTTCAGCCGCTGCGGCGGGGTTTACATTCCTTGTCTTGAGACTGTGTTTGACTCATTAAATGTTTCAAGTCGGTTGAGAAACTTAAATATTTGTTAAAATTCAGTGTGTCCTGACTTAGAGAAAACGAATTACTGTGTATACTTTATAAGACCCATCTTTTGCCCATTCCTGAGCTTGTAGTGATGATGAGGCTTAAAGATTCTGTCTTTCAGGCAGACAAGTTAAAGTTCGTGAGAGAAGGCTCCAGCCGTGGGGAGCAGTTCTCCCACATGGCATTGGCGTTGGCTTGTGAGTTGGCCCCTGAGGATGGTACACACGGTTTCCAGGGAAGAGATCAGGAAGGACGCTGCAAAGGGATTTTCCCCGACTCTCATCTCAAGGGGAATCTCCTTTTTGCTTCAGCTGGCCAAGCTTAGCTGGCTCCTGCCTGATTCCTAGACCGACTTCCCACCCTCTCATCACATAGCGGCCCTCCAAGCAGGTGCCTGGTTGATGTGGATCCCCTGGTTTGCTTTGTTTGAACTGTTAACCTTTTTAATGGTGAAGTGGATGATCTAGATCGAGCACCAAGGTACTCCTGCCTTACATCCCCTTCATGTGCCCAGAGGCCCACAGCTTGCTCTCGTGTGGATCTGTAGGACAGAGCAGGTAGTCCTGTAGGGTCTGTGAGGTCATCTGTACCTCAAGTGCTTCTCCGGGGTGGGGGAGGATTTGCTGCCCCTGACAGTGCTGCTGTCCCCATGGAAGTGTGCCCAGCCTGCTTATCCATCTGAGATGCACCACGGATGATAAATAATAATCACGGCAGCATGATTGCTGAAAGGCAGGCTCCAGCCAGGGTGTGCTGGGTTGTAGTGTTTTCCTGATGGATGGAGCCTATTCTGGGAAGCAGCTTATTGTCTCACGTGAACAGGCTTTCTAAAATAAATGACTGCTTTCCTAATATTTTGAATCATTTTCTTCAGCACATGTTTTGTAGCCGTGGTTTGAAAGCTTGCCAAATATATGCCTTCGCACAACTCCCTGTAGGGCTGGATATACAACCAGACCAAACAGAGTGATTTAAGGTTGAACATAATTGGGAACTCAGCAATCACTTGCCTTGCATTTGATAGAATGGCAGCAGAGTGCTCTGGAGTTATTTCTCCGTTAAAAAATTATATATATAATACACACACACAAATGCACACTCGTATATAGTCTCACCACCTCATAATAAAGAAGTCGTGTCTGAAACCACTGGCCAGAAACACCAGTGTGAAAGTTATTACTTGACTTTTGTGATGGAGGCAGTAATGAGCTTCAAACAGATCCTAGTAGCCAATACCACAGATGTGACTGAGGACCTTAGTAAAATAGTATAAGGTTACGGGATGGAGAAAAATCAGATGGTGCCAGAAATGCATCTTAAACCCAAGCCCCCGTCAAGACTTTCATCAGGTGATGTGTTCCTTGTTTCTGTGCACTTCAGTAAGTGAGCCATAAACTGGTGAACTTGGTGCTGCCTCCCTGTTAAACAAGGGGCTTTGGTGTTTACATTTCAAGTGCTGCCGTGTGTTTGGGATTGTTGGGCCGTCGGTCTCCTGTAATTGAGACCTTTTCATGTGCCTCTTGTGCGGTGGGAAAAATGCTGTCGACAGCCCCACTTCCTGGAGCTCTTTAGAAGATGGAATTGAGAGCTCTTTGAGAAGTCACATGTGGAATCCAAGTTTGTTTAGCAGGCCGAGGGAGATCGTCCTGGCAGATGTTTGTGGTGGCTCTCCGGATCACAGAGGGTGGAGGCGCTCCCTGGCGTGCTGGCTCCTTCAGGCTCGTCGCCAACCCCGGGGCTGTGCAGGAGGGAGGGGTGTGGGGAGGGAAACCATGCCTGGCACAGCTACCACGGTTCCCTGATGATGGCGTCCCTTCGCCACGCAGTGACACAGCCTGCCGCCACCCCTGGTAAGAATGGGAAATAAAACTCTGAGGTGGAAACGTTGCTATCTCAACTTACGCAATTACAGTGAATTTTTCCCAGGGATTCCCCCCCCCCCCACCGCCATGAAAGTTTGGACACTTTTCTAGTCATTGAAAAGCTCCTGTCTTTTGGAGTTTCAGACAGTCAAATAAACCCAGCTCCAGAATTTAACTTTTATTTGCAAACAGCATGATTATGAAAAATCCTATGGAATATGTATCTGTATATTCTCCCCCTTAAGAATATGTGAATTCAGCGAGATACAAGATACAGAGTCAGTTGTATTTCTGTATATTAGCAAAAGGTGAAATTAGAAAATCAGTATCACTGGCAATAGATTTAGAAACATCCAGTACAAAAAACTAAGAATGCATGTACGACCTCCGCCCTGAAGACGAATGCATTGCTGAGAGAGATGAGAGAAGTCCCGCACAAACAGAGGGCTAGGCTGTGGATTGGAAGACTCAATATTGTTAAGATGTCTGTCTGTTTTCCCTACGTTGATTTAGGAATTCAGTGCCATTCTAGTCAAAATTTAGACAAGCCGATTGTAGTTTATATGGAAATGCAAAGGATCTAGGAAAACCAAATCAGTTTTGAAAAAGAACAAAACTAGAAGATTTTGTTGCCTGATTTTCAAGACTTCTTACAAAGCTACAGTAATCAATCTAGTGTGGTATTGCCAAAGGATAGACACCTAAATCAGTGGGGCAGAAGAAAGAGGCCAGAAATGGACCCACACATCCATGGGCAGTTGATTTTTGACAAGGGCGCAGGGCAATTGAGTGGAGAAAGGATGGTCTTTTAAACAAATGGTAATGAACAATTGGACATCCTATGCAAGTAACATGAACCTTGACCCGTACCCTGTACTGTATACAAAAATTAACTCAAAATGGATCATAGATCTAAGTTTAAAGTCTAAAACTTTTATAAAACTTCTGGAAGAGGGCGCCTGGGTGGCTCAGTTGGTTAAGCGACTGCCTTCGGCTCAGGTCATGATCCTGGAGTCCCGGGATCGAGTCCCGCATCGGGCTCCCTGCTC